GTGCGATTGTAACTCTTTGATCGTCTCAGAACCGAACGCCGTTCGGCCTAAAAATAGCGAATCCCTCGCGCAGCGTTCCGCGTGCTAATGGCCGATGGTTAATCACCGAACAGGCGTGATTTCGGCCGATAAATAGAAACGGTAACGGTCCAGTGGCGTGCGTTCCGTAAATCCAGGAACGACGGGTTCATCGGTAAAAGCGTAATGGAGGATTCCGTGACCGGCGCGCCGAGCCGCCGCGATGGGAAACGATAGCTGGTTCCGGCCGCGATCGGCCACGACCCCGTCGTCGTCGTCGTGAACTTCTAAATTATTACGCGGTTCCGGATTTAATGGAGCCGATGGTAAAAGGACGTCCACACGAACGTCGTAAAGCTTAATCTCGGCCCGCCCGCTCGGTTTGCGTCCCCCTCCGCCTCCGCCCGCCGGTTTCCAACGGGGAAAAAGTGGCCCGTTTACACGCGGAAAACAAAGGAATCCGGAATACCTTCCGCGAAGGTAATTCGCTTCGCGGAACAATCCGGGAAGCGCTAAAAGGACGGCCGTTCCGCGGCATTGTGGATTCCTTTGTAACTACACCGTCTCTGCCGCTATTGTTTCTGGCGAAACGAACTCTGTTGATCGAATTATGGTCCATATTTTATTGGCAAATTCCTCTTACAAACTTTTTTCGAAAGGTAATTCATTCAATTTCGGTGCTCCCCTTTTATCTCGTCTCGCAACGCTTCGATGTACATCGCGTTGGCAACAATCGCGTTCAAGCGTTAATGCTTCTCCCGTGGAATCGAAATGTTTCCACGGTTTCATTAGAAATTTTCTTCTAGCACCGAATCCTCCTCTATTCCCATGAAATAACGGTAACGGGATAACTCCGCCGCACCTTCCTCGGGTTTCGAGGACACGTACAGCTGCGACCATTGTCTGCTCGCAAACCTCAACGACGCGTGTAGCTATTCTGCCATCGGCCGACGCGAATCGACACTTTTCCCGGCGAGATGACGAAAGTTATGGGAATCTCGTTACAGCTATCCGCGAGGTGGCAGCGTGAATTTTTCAATTTACCCCGATCCTTTGAGCCAATATCGGGGATATTAAAGGGTCGCGATATTCCTTTTTCTCTTACATGGTTACATCCGAGACCTGTCGCTGACAATTTCCTCCAGAACCGGAAGCGTATCAGACTGTTTAAACCGCTCCGGTGATTTCTCATCAGTCCGCTGATCAAAGTCGATGACGATTAGCAAAAGTTGCGCGACGCGACGCGACGCGACGCGGAGGGGACAGGCGGGCGATAAAATTTCTTTCCAAGTTATATTAACGCCGTTACTCGTTCCCGCGGGCTCCACGGACGAACTTTAATCGTGAATAATGAAGGAGTCCGAGGACGATTATTTTTCTTAGCGAGGGGACGATATTGGACGGAGTCCTGTAATTCCGTCCGGATGCCATTTTTCGTGCCTCCCGAAAATCCCCGGCGTCGAGACGTTGACCGTCTCCCGACACACTTTCGAACTTTCGCGCGGAAATAATGGACGGAAAGAATTAACGTCGCGGGGAGGAGAAATTCCTGGCGATTTAGAAACTCGATAACGGCGCCCCCGGAGAGGGGCAATTTTTCGCCGTGAATATCGAAGTCACGCGTTTCGATATTTAATTACGGCCTCGGAAATATTCCGGAGCGTTAATGAAAGAGTTTGCAGCGCGCGTACGTGGAATTAATAATTCCGTGCAATCGCGTATCGCTAACAAATTTCGCCGGGCGTCGGGCAATAATTGTCGCGGGCGCGGTATTTGTAATTCGCCGGTTACGCGTGTCAAATTTTACAATGCCGACCCTCATTATATTTACAGCGGCGCGGCCGGCGTTGCTTACCTGTCAATGCGACCCGGGGAGCAATTTATAGCGTCGGGAGCCGGGGCATGCAGATTCATCGAACGATTGTTGCTGTCGGCCATCAAAATGCGACGACGATGTCGCCGCGGCTGCGTGCCGTCTCTCCGGTTTAATTAGCGTTACAATGATCGGGAAATCCCCGGTATTATAACGGATAATTACCGCGCGCCCGACCTTCCTCGCGCCTCCCGCCGCGCCGTGAATTTCGAAATCTCCTTCGACAATGTCGAAAGACGACAATGGGGGTTCACGCGCGCGCGACGTTCAATTAAATTCCTTTGAATCTCGCACCTCTATTCAGGAATATTTCTTTTGTACCCTCGAATATACATTCGCCAGGCGAGAAGTGCAATCCTCGAAAGCTTGACGCCGCCTTTTTAAAAGAATGTCGCTGCCGAAGAACTTCGGTTCCCTTGTTTTACAATTTCCTGCGGGACACTGGCGAATCACAATCGCATACAACGTAACAACGAAGAATAACGAAAATAATTCAATATCTCTTCGAAGCACTATATCACCTCTATCGTAACGATTTAGCTGTTATTTAACAACTCAGTTCTTCCCTTAAAACCTGCATCACCTCCATGACATTTCACAGCGTCAAACTCTATTCGACGCAATCGGGACTCGATTCTCAACCGAGGCATTACATACCACAACAGCGGACCGTTGTTCACCATTATCTTCTTTCCTTCAAAAAGAAACCGTCGACGAAGAACTCGAAATATCAACCATTAGGAATAGTTTGACCGATCGGTTCAAGAAATCTCCAGGAGCTCGAAATCCAGAGGTCCAGAAATGGTAGGAGTACACCGTAACTCGGTAATGACCCCCATATCGGCGGGCGTGCTCGAGAATCGCGGTGGTCGGGCGTCGAGGGGTCGGGAACGGGGTGGCAGTCTTTCGGTATATCGGAAAGTCTGGCGGAAGGTTTCGATCCGGGACGGCGACAGACACCGGCGGCGACGGGAACTTCTCGAGACAGCACCGGCGAAATTATCTGCAGCATCCGCGCGCACGCGGGAACACATCGACGCCCGGCGACACGGGCACTCGCCGCGAGTTTGCCGAACTTCCCGTAGGCCGTGCCAGTTCGGTACAGCTCCTCCGAGACGGAGTGCAAAGTTATGCTGGCTGGCGTGCGCGCGAGGAATTGTGCGGGAACCATGCCACGAAATCAGATTACGTCGCTGGCTGGCCGCGTCCTCCGCGAGGTCCTTCCCCGGTTCCGCTCGGACCGTGGAACGTGTCCTCTCCTCAGCGGGCCGCCGCGTCGCTCCCTTTAATATTTTCGCGCGCGATAGGGAATTTATGCGACACCGCGGGGGAGCCCGGGAAATTTAAATAGGAAAAGTGTCGTTCATCTTGAACGGTATAATACACGGGGAACCGGGCGATCAAGAGAAGAGGAGAGAGCGTGGCGGCGGCGTTCAAGATAAATGCGCTTTGTATATTAAAGCGCGCCGGTTTTAATAAAAGTTTCGCCCGGCGCGAGCTTCGCCTCTGGCCCTCGCCACCCTCGGCCACCGTCTCCCGGGCGATTTCTCATTACGCCTCTGTCCTCCTCGTTATTATTTTCGGTTCGGGTAATTCACGGCTCGCCGCGGACGTGGCTGTATTTGGAAACCGTGACGGTTGTATTCTTTAGACTTGAACGTTACACGACGTTAACTCGTCGATGGTATGTTTATTTCACGGAGATCAAACGGGAACACAGAGTTCGAAGGGTTAATATTCTATGTTTCAACTTGAGTTCCATTTGTACGCCTGCTACGGACACCGAAAAGTAACTATCGTATCGACGTGGTTAAATTGGTTCGACGCGCGTTATTCATCCATAAGTTTCACGCCGATTATGGATCATTCGTTCGGCCCGTCTGTCCCGGCGGTTATTTATAATAGTCCGTTGAGCGACGACTGAGTATTAATTACAGCTGGCACGAGGATCACGCGAAGATATTCAGCGGCGGCGAAGCCCGGTTTTATTCTTGTTCGAAGCCGCGAGCGGCCACGAGATAGCCGGGACCGATCCCCGTGTACTTCGCCGTCTTCCTTCGGGCATTCTCTGCCAATTTATTACCGCCGCTAACGGTTACCAACGCCAGCGACGGTTTTGTCCGGTGGTTTCACGGATGAAACCACTTATCTCAGCCGCCGCCGCCGCCGCCGCCGCCGCCGCCACTGCTGCGCAATAATTTCTCTTTTCTATAAGGCCACTTTAAGGCTGCCCGATAGCGGTAACAAAGACGCGAACGGCGCGCGGGTGTATTTTATTCCCGTTGCATCGGCTCAAAGATCTCCCCTTTCGCGCGATTTACTTTGACAAGACGGAACCTTTTGTAGCTGTAATGATCTTGTAACGGCGGGACTCGCTTTAAATGGGAAAGCTGTTGAAGGGTCCGGCATCGTTCCGTTGCCTCTCGAGGTTTCCAAACAATTAAACGACGATGCCTCGGAACTTTTCATCGGAATTACGCGCCCGCCGTTCGTCTATGGCGACCGGTGCTCGAGGGATTTCGTGGGAATATATTTTGACTTTGATCGAACGAGTGTTATTGTCAGCGGAGAAAGTGCTTTGTAATTCGTACGGTATCCGATCCTCCTGGTATTCAAACTTTACGGTATATTAATTTCTATTATAAAATGTATTACGATTAGCCTGAGTATTCTGTGCATTCAGGGAACTTCGAAGGTGCAGAAATACAGATTCCACGCGATGCGAGACAATATATACCCAAAATATAGTATTCTTTATATTATTCGTTAGAAAAACTATAATCCATCATAATTCTGTTTCTCCGGCGATTCTCCTAAACCCCGAATCTGCATAAAGTCTAATTACGACGGCGGCGGTTGTCAAAACACGAAATCGGACGTTCCATAGAAGAACGGCGTTTCATACCGGGCGCATCCCCATTCTCGGTGTACAGAATTGCCAGCAGTGATCCGTGTTATTCGAGAGCCCCAATAACAACGGGCACGGTCGAGAAACATTCTCCGGTTCCTCTAACCCAAGCCCGGTCCGGCTCTCTGCAGACCTATCAGAGCCGGTCCAGGCTTCACCGTACTTCAAAGTCGCTAACAACGATCTCCTCCCCTGTTCCAGACATGCTACGAGATGGAGAGGTACCTGAAGGACGAGCCGAAGCTGCAGTCGTACAAAAAGTTGCCCACAGAATTGGACACGGCACCCTGGAACCTCTTCAGGGCGCCGCCAATCTCGTGGACAGCGTCCACGGGCACCGCCAACGCACAATTCGAATCGCCAATCAAAATGGAGGTGAGTAACGACGTATTCGGTCGGGTGCTCCCACGGGGACACTTCACGAAGGTCCACTTGTCCCCCGCCAACGGGCGCCGGCCATCGCCGTCGCCACCCAGCGAAAGCATCCCCCGCCAACCTCCCCGCTGTCCAACCCTTGGAACGTTGGTTCACGAGCAGCAGTGTCAAAACCGTTTCTTCTCTTTGTCCCTGATGCGACGTAGGTGACGACGTCGTCGGAGGACAGGGAAACGCTCTGTCTCGACGACATAAAATTCAGTCCCGGCGATCACAACCACAACGGCCGCGATAGGGATCTCCTGGACCGACACCTCGATTCCTTGTCGATGTCGTCGGCGAGTTCGGCGTGTTCGGCGTTGTCCTGGGACAGCTCGCCCTCCCTCTCGTGCACAGCACTCATTCTCAAGAAAGAGCCCAGCGAGGATCTCGAAGAGGATGAGGAGCATGAGGTGCGTTCAAGCCGGATTTACATCTGACACTTATCGTCCAAACTTTCTACCCGGGGATACGGTTCCCTATTCGGTGACAGCGTCCGGACGCTCGTATCCCAACCCCCTTCCTATTCTTTTCTTCTTTTACTTCTCCTCTATCTTTCTTTCTCTCCCTGTCTCTCTCTTTCTTACTCTCGCCCTGTCGTTCCCTTCCTTTCTCGGCCCCCGTCCCTTTACTTTTTTCCTTTCACTCTTTCCAGCCGTCTTTTTGCGCCTCTTTTTTCCTTCACTCCCCCACCGTTTATTTTTATCCAACTCGGACCGGTCCCCGTCCAAACGTTCCTTCGTTTCTTTTCAATATTCCGGACGCCTCGGATTGTTTTGCATGCGAATGCTTAACTTACGATTATGTAAATCTCGGGGCCGCGCGAACGAACCTGCTGAGCAAGACTATTCCGGCTGTTGAATGAGCCCCTTTTTATTTCGGATTTGGAGCGTCGGGCTACGCGGGACTCGAGGTGAACAACTCTAGAAAATGAAATTCCTTTTAAATGTTATTCCGGGCCACCGGCTTTTCTATCGCGCGTGTATTTTCGGGGGAAATCGTTGGGAAAGTTTCGGTCGCGTTGCAGTTCAGCTCGTCGGAGGTTGAGCGACGCTAACGGTAAATGAGCTTGATCGTCTCTTTAGTGGGATGTTAGGGGAAACCTGTTTTGAACAACATCGTTTTAAACGGAACAAATACATTTCTGAACACTTCGCAGTCGGAAGTTTCTCCTTGGAAATATTCAACGGTTCGAGGTACAGACATTCTTTGAAATTAACTAAAGAAAATACACATAAATTAAGAAACTGTCTCACTTCTATACTTCACAGATGGATGCTCCATACAAAGCTCAATATTATATTCAAAACTCTATAACGTTATTCTATCAAATGAAACGGTGACTAACAGTCCCTTCCCTGAAAGGGTTAACCCTTCGAACTCGAAAGTTCGTTTCAAAGAATGTCGCCTGTAACCCATCCGAAAACGTTGAACATCTCCAGCGGAAGACTTCCGAGTGGCAAGGGTTAATACATCTGAATGTTTCGACCTCGCCGACCATGACCCGCGCACGCGAGATATCGCCGCGATTGCGCAACCGGAGGAAACGAAGCCTCGTTTGTCAATATCAGGGAACGGGCTCATTCGAGTGCCTAATGATCAGCGGCGGCGAGAGCGTACCGGTAACGAGGCGGCCCTGAAAAGAACGGCCTCTATTTACGCGGAGCCGTAACGCCGCTTCCGGTCCTCCGGTTCCGTAGCAATCGCGCGCCGCACAATGCCCGTCAAATTTCAATTACCGGACGAACGGCCGGTTATACAAATAACGATTCTTCCCAATTTTCGTCGGGTTACGTGCGGCTCACGATGTAATTTAACGCGCGCCTGCACACGCACGTTGCAGCCCGTGTAATCCGTTTACGAGGTCATTTGCCATTGATCGATTCCGGGCCGGCCCGGCTACGGCCGGCGCGCTGCGCCGCGCCCGCCGCGCTCGCCGCGCTCGCCGCGTCGCGTATCGATGTCCGATACCGTTTTAACCAGTTGCTTGCACTTTAATCAGAGCCCCGTTATCGTAATCCCGTTGCGTAATGAATTACGTTTGCGGCCCGCAGGAAATCGAGGAGGAGGAGGACAGCGGCTGCGAAAGCGAAGGTCAGATCCTGACGCCACCGTCGAGCCCCGGCTCAGGTCAAGGTCATTCCAACTCCAGTCACTCGTCGAGCGGGAGTTCGATGCTCGATGTCCACAACCTCAACCTTCACGGGACGGGTGGCAGGAGCGCCATCGTCAGGGTTACCACCAGCAACGCGCAGGGTGTCGCAAGGTGAGCATTGGCTTGTTCGTTTTCCAGTTGAGCTATTTATGGATCGATGCCTGAGAACTTTTCGGTGAACTTCGCCCATAACCGTCGCCTTGTCTGAATACGTGTTACAGGGAACTATAAGATCGTCTAATATACTAATTCTTCGTTAACCTTAATCTCCGACGAGGATGTTTAGAAACATTAACCCTTAGCTGTCCTATGTCGAGTCAGACCTGACATTCTATCTTATTGCAACCTCTACCTGTTTTAACAATTTTTTCTATATTCATTTGTAGTACAATTGTACCATTTAAAGGTAACATTTCAATGACTCCCAAATATTCTTGAATAAATAAATAGAGCGTCATATTAAGCTGTCGAATGAACTAACGTCGACGTGAACCTCAAAGTGAGATACCAAGAGCACGTCGGACCGCAAGGGGTTAAGAATTCTTTCCATAAGGAACTAAGTTAAAGATTCGATTAGATACTAGAGAATGAAGAGACCTATCCGTCGATCTCCCAACGTTTTAATCATCGTAAAGTAGCTATCATACGCGAGTTTGATTGAAAAGAATCCGGCGGGTACCCGATGCAACAAATAAATCAATTCCGCTGGCACCGGTTTTTCCGCGAATTAATTTGAATCCGGCCGTTCGAATTACACGCTATTTCATGGTTAAATTGCGGACAAATTGGACGTCGCGCGCATATCACGGTCTATACCAACAGTTAATTACGGGACACCGGACAAGGGCAGTGATGATGCGGCTCCGGGCTTTTTTGCAGACTGATCTCCGTCGCGGCGAATGGGTACCCCGCGGTCGCGGGCACGCAACACGCACACGCAGGGGCCGCCGCAGCTGCGAGCACCGTGGCCAACAGGCACCACGCGAGGAGCCACGAGCACAGTCCGCCCGACACGAAGCGCAGGATACACAAATGCCAATTTCCGGGATGCAAGAAGGTCTACACCAAGAGCTCGCATCTGAAGGCCCACCAGAGGACGCACACGGGTGAGTCACTCGATCCTCGTTCTCTGAAAGGTTCGGCTAACCGATTCACGCTCACGCCGGACTCGGAACGAAACAACGAGAGCGTTCCCGTTCCACGCGAAACCGGTGTAATCCCCTTTTTTTCCCCCGTTAATTCGTGTATACACATTGTCCTCCGAATAATCGCGCTAGAATTAATGAGCGAATTACCAGGGTTCGCGCGGTCGCATTCATCAGAGAGGAATTTATATAAAGAGTAATTGAACCCCGCAGTAACGGGATAAAGGCGGAATAAAAATCGCGCAAACAGCCGCCGAAGCACCGCGATCTGATTGCGAGCGGGTACCTCCGCGCGCGCTTTAAACGCGTAAACGGCCGCAATTCACTAATGAGTTGCCGCTCCATGCGTGAACGGCACGACGATTCAATAAAAGGGGAATCTTCCTGCTGGAAATAATTATTTTTACAATGGGATTACGAGGCCCCCGTTACCGTGCGAAGAATAACAAAGGCTCGAAGAGATTTTATAACGAGTATTATCCGGACGGAGCTCCGCGACACGGCGATATTTTCACGATTCTCGTGAAACTTCAGACTTACACGATATCCACTTCCATTTTAATCATTCGCTCGTTGTCGCGTTGTATTCTTCATCTCCGAGGTTGAAATCGATCGAACAAACCGTACCCGTGTACAACGGAAATATTCGATGCACGTTGACAATATGAGAACACACGGATCCCACGGTTCTCGATCGCGAGGAGACGCGAAGCGAAAAGTCGTCCCAGCCGAGCCATGAATCACGCGGACCGCAAAATGGCGGGCGTTCCGTCGGCCCTTCGTGCTCGGGCGCGATCAACATTTATCACTCTTTCCGCAATTAAGGTAACGCACGCGCGAATTATCAATACCGTGGATCGCCATTAATAAACGACGCGTCTGTCGCCGCGCGACGCGTCGCCGGCAGATAATTCCGCGCGGGCTTTCTTCGCGATTTAGTTAACCGTTAGTCACGCGATTATCCCGTGGCGTCTGTCGCCTCGCCCGGCTACAGCCGGGATATATCCCGCGAGCGGGGAGCACCGGGACAAATTCCTCGGTGCCGCCGTACCTCGTCTCCGCCGGTTATCGCGGCAAACAACAATGCATAATTAATTACGGGGCTGAATTAAGGGAGCCTGTTCGGCTTGCACGGCGGACTGGATCAGCGCGGCGAGCGCCGCGGGATGAATGCGAAGCCCACGTGCGCGATGCCGGAAGATGCATGTTTAATGCCGGCGAAACACTCGGCCCGGCCGCTTTCTTCCATCGATCGCCGGATAATCGGCCCTCGCTGTCTCGTTAGCTACCACCGAGTCCCGCTGATAGGATCTCATAATTCATTCAGCGCGAGAACGTCCGAGAGAGTTTCTTTTCTGCTCGAACAGTCCGAGGAATCTTGAACACTCGCAAAGAGAGGACTAGATATGGAAATCTGCGTTTCAATGTAGTATTCACATATCTAGGAATGAATAATCCTCGTTTTTTCGACAATGCGCCTCTGTTTCTGGATGAAATGAGTTTGAAGATGGTATGTTACTGTAATTAGGCGACGGATAACATTGAAATAATAGAACGGAACTAATTTAGAGAGTATAGGAGGAGAAAAATTCTAAGCATGGAGATTAAGCGACCTTGTTTCACTAGACTTCTAATCATATTAGCGACAGAAAGTTCAAACTCAGTTTTTTCAAAAGACCATAGCTGGAAAAGTCATGAGCGTTTTTCATTTCTAGATATGTACTATAATATGCACAGGGTTTCATTCGAGCACATTTTTATATTTGACTTCTTTGTTAGCTGTACGATTGTTGTTTCTAGATGGATCGTTTTTGTTAATGAAGCGCGGGCGCTCGTGCATTTCCAGGAAATTTGAAATAGTTTGCAACGCAGTACGAAATAATATGTAATATTTGACAGGCAACGGTTTTTGTAAGGTTCGTTGGCAAGAACCACTTTCTATTTAGCATTCTCTTACCGGTGATTATCTCATTGCTCGTTTGATCGTGCAGCAGGTATTCTATCTTTGGTATTATAAAAATACCAGATACGAAAAACAGCAGGCGAAGCAATTTCGTTGATTACTAGGATCTCTGCTTGACTTGCTCTCTGTTAACGCTCTAAGCATTCTTGGTTCTTTAGCAGTTATTTACATATCGGGGATCAAAAGTTCGCGAGGTGTACACGCTCTCCAATCAATTTGTTACGGGATCGATGGCACACGTGCCGGAAGAAGTAAATTAGATTCAACGTGAGATTTCTTTGCCAGGAGGAAATTGAAATCCCAAATTGGCTGCTGGAGTTGACTAGCCTCTATTTAGGCGATACACCATTACTCGGAAACTTCGGACCGTTAGATAATGCTTGCACGACCTGAATACATACAGCCTCGGCTAATCACTTTTTTTCTACGTCATTTTGAAGATTATAGAGATAGCCAATGAGGCTGAGGAACAATTTCCTGTTCGGTAGAAACGAAGTGCACTCAGAGTGCATTCCGACTAGAAAATTTTTCGATGAACCTTATCTCCTGAAATTATTCGAAGTATCTTAACCCTTATGGTGTCGAACAACGATACACCATTTCTATAGACACGTGGTTTACCAAGTTCAATTAATGCCAAATGTATTTCAATGTTAATCAAATTTCAGTGACTTTCCCATAATGCCTTAGAAAACAGAGAAAACCGTATTCCTCGAGGTTCGAAGCGTTCATACAAATACACAGCTTCATAATTCTTCCTAAAAGCAACTTCCCACTTTCGATAATTGCGAAAGAAAGTCTCGATAAATCACTTCGACCTGGTAGTTTTAGTATCAAATTGACTTTCTGAAATTTCTTTATAGAAACTCCATGAGTGCATCTACCGAGACTTCAATTCGGTTTGCCTATCGCTAAATCAATTCCCCTAATGATTCCTCGGAGAAACATCCATCTCTTTAACAACTACAAAAAGACACCAGGAATGGGTCGTTCTCAGCCTCCTGGTTGTGTTAACATCCAAACCTCCGGAGATTCATATACACCCCATTTTCCCGATACGCGTTGCACCCATGATCTCAGTAACAAGCGTGCCCCGCTGCGTCCCGGTCAAAGGCGAAGCCAATTAAGACGCATCGTTTGGAAGCCAGTAAATAGTGAAAAAGCAACGTGCGCGCGCGATCTATCGCGACCGGCGGAAGAAAGCCAGCCGAGGAAATTGCATGCAAGAAACCGCGCGGCCTCCTCCGTCGTCACTTCCGTAAGCTGCGTCACTTTCAGCGAAGAACTGACCGAACACGTTATTACCGCGCGGTCAGCTCGCTCTCCTCCTTCTTCATCCTGCAGGTTTTCGCGGTTCGATGCCGCGCGGCTGCCGGAGAACTGTAATTAACGAGGGACTCTATCCTCCTCCGTTCGCAACCCCTGCCGCCGTACACCCCCTCCCTCCGCCGGTCCCCGCGGTTCTTCCTCGCTCTTTGTCCAGGGATTTCGTCGCGTCACGCTTCGAACCCTTTCACCGAAGTCTCGGTTTCGCTGTGTTGTATACTCTGCTTCGTTGATCCTCTCCGCCGCGTGGGGAATGTATGGCTTCGCCCTCTTTGTACGCTCGCGGAATAATGTTAGTCGTGTTGTCGGGAGTACACCGCGGGAAAGTTGCAAGAAAACTCGAAATTTCCGCGAACGCTACTTCCGTCGTGCGCTGCTTTCGGGATGCGTTCGGTCTGCCGCAGTCCTCGTTGTTTAGGTAACGAGGGGATCGAATGAAATCTTGGTAGGTCGTTTCTGGTCGTTATTTTATTACGTTGACATTTTGTTTTCTTGTAACTTCTAACGTCTGATACGTTATAGATAGTATTACATAGATCCGGTATATATTACCGATCGGAGAGTCAATTCTCGAGGAATCAAGGAATTTTTAATTGGATTCCTTAAAAAGCAAGCTTAGATATATCTCAGTTCTGTGCACGTTCTCGAGTCGGTTTTTTGCGTCTATCCTGCATTTCCTTCCCAATCTTCAATAATTCTCGTTCCCTCTTTGCGCGTCGGTTTTTACCTTCGCCCCTCCCACCCCCGTCCCCTCGTTACATCGGCCTCCATAATACTGCCACTGAAATTACACATCTGCGCGCTTTCCTGTGGGCACACCGCGCCGCGTCCCTGTACGGATGCAGATGAGCACACGCGGATAGGTAAATAAACACATATGAAGGCCCGCGCACGTGTAGCTATTCACGTGAGCAAATATATGTGGACACGTATACACGCTTAATCACCTGTACGTACAATATTACGGGGACGTGTCGACGTGCCGGCTGGCGGCACGTGTACCTGTCTACGTGGGCGACGCGCAACGGGATTCGACGTAATGATGAAGCGAATTCCAAGATAAATTTAGGAAAGACGCGAGTGCTCGGTTAGACGCGGCGCGTCGTTAAAGATTCACCTTGCTGGGTAGTTCGCGCGATCCGTTTAACAAGCGTCGTCCGATCGAACGCTTTCTGCTCTTCGCATTTTCTCCAGAATCCTTAACACGTTGACTGCCAAATAGGCATTCACCAAAACCTCCACACAATCAAAATAATTTTCATACTAAAACAGAAACTAACCGGTCAAAATTCTTCGTAACGATTGACCTACTGTTCTTTCTATATTTAATGCATCTAAGAAAATTCAGATCGTTCGATACGTCACCGGGAGAATTCATTTTTAAGTTGATGGAGAAAATGCTGTCACCCGAATTTGGACGACATGGCAGTTAAAGTGTTACATCGTTCGTCCCTCAATAATCTACTCCAAAATTCCACAGTATACTTTCTCACTAAACATTTGATAACAGTTTAGATTCCGACTGACGCAATAAACACTCATTATAATTCCCGAAACACTAATTTCTGCGGTCTATATAAACATAGTCCCCTAGGAACGCTAGAACAAAGTGTAAGATAAACGGCCGCAAATCTAGCGTTAACGTGGCTTCTTTCTAAAAACATACTCAAAG